TCTACACTACAGCTCTACACCGAAGCGAAGCGAGGGCGGGCCACTAGTTAGTAATAAAATAGCAACGAATCAACCGATTTCGATGATTTAAAAAGTATATTAATTAAAAAGCTTATAAAATAATTATACTGTTGATTTTGAGTTGATTTGCTGACCTAGTAATGATCTTCATTGTGTTCGTCATATTAATCAGGTGAGTTGATATCGTTCTGAAGTCGTTTTTGCTTCTTGGATTTGTGTGCCTGCGCGAAGTTAACGCTAGCGCTTGATCGCGACGTCGACATCTTCCGACGACATTCACGTTAATGACTTCTTAATTCGGGGATGATCGTCCTACGCGCGCTTCATTTATATATCGTAAATAGTTGAATTGTTTCGCCGCTTCGAGGAACTCGAAGGCGCTGCGCTAGTGGTTAGCGCGTTAAGCTGCAATCTTGAAGTTAAGCAACTTTCGCAGTGGTCGGTCGTTGGACCAAAAATTTACTTTTTCGAGCACCTCCGTACTTCTGAAGGCACGTTAAGCACTTTGGTCCCGGCTGCATCTGCAGTCGTTAGCACCCACCAATCCGCACTGGGCCCGCATATCTACTACAGCCTACCGCGTAAGTCTTTTTTTAAAGATAGGTCTGACATATGACTCCACCCCACCTGATGTTAAGTGATGGTGAAGTCCAGACGTGAAGATAGCTGATACAGCAGTTCTACCTGCCACACCAGCCCTCCTCACCCTGCCGGCCAGCATGTTGCTTCTTCACGCCTCTTTTAAAGGATCCCAGGTTGTAAGAGGGAGGGAACTATCGAGGATATTAAATATTTCAATGAACCATATACCTACTAGGTCCTTGTGTAACTTCAAACTCTCCAGTCTGGAAAGAACTTTCCTCAACGGTGTATCCTTTAAGCTATGGTATGGCGGGCATCAAAAGGCGAGTAAATAAACCATTCCCTTCAGAGCAGGCAACGCCTGAGCAACCTACTCTTGGTGCTGCAAGTGTTCATGGACGGCAGTGACCACTTCATCATCATCAGCCTATTAATGTCCCCACTGCTGGGGCACAGGCCTTCCCTATGGATGGAATAGGGAGACCGGGCCGGTGGTGGGTGCTAACGACTGCAGATGCAGCCGGAACCAACAGCATTACGTGCCTTCCAAAGCATGGAGGAGCTCGAGATAGTAAATTTTTGGTCACCCATCCGATGACCGACCACTGCCAAAGTTGCTTAACTTCAACGATCGCAGCCGAAGGCGCTCACCACTTGCGCCAACGAGCTCCTCAAACACTGACCACGTGACCGCTTACCATCTTAAAAAAGTGTCGAGTATTGTATTTCTGGTTGCGCCAGTATGGCATTTTGAATTGACCGTATAAAAAACCTTATAATCGCTCATCGTCTTATTTTGGATTAATAGTTAAAATTGGCACTTTACTCATTTCCTTTTCCCACCTCCCTCCTGCACATACCTATCTCGCATGCAAGAGTGAGTCGATGAATGTCATCTAAGTGAATGTCCACTGGGGACATCTCGCGGGCGTTGAAGTAAACAATCAACATCCCTTTTAGCAAATCCGCACCTTTTATTAATGGCTGCCGTAAATCACGCTCTTCATAATTAATTCCTTTGATAAACAATAACCATAGTTCGAGTGATTCTAATTGTGAAAATAGAAGTGCAAGACTACCCATTTAGTGTTACCCATAAGAATATCAACCGGCCACGAACCCAGGTTCGGTTTTGGATAGCCGGCTCGACGCGTCCACCTTAGGAGCTTCTGGGCTGGCCGTTAATGCAAAGTATTGTGCAACCTTCCTTATAGGTTTTGAACTATTGCCCTTTGTTTAAATCCACGCAGTTCGAAATCTCCTTTATTTGATTATCGTGCCAATTTTAAAATTTATGGTCCATTTAAAAAAACAAATATTTAGCATCAGCGCGCAAACTTCTATCTCATCATAAAAGTCTAGCCAACATGTTCTAAGGTTTAGAACGTTTGAAAGATTTTCACTATTGAAAATATTTATACTAAAACAACCGAAAAGTTCCTATTATTAAAATCAGCCAATTATATTTTCGAGAACAAAAAGATTGTATACCAATCTACATTGCTTAGAAAAAAAATATCAATAAAATTTATAAAACAGACAGTGATGTCGATTCTGGCATGATTCTCTAAACCTAAACTTAAATTTGAGAACAGTGCATCCTTGTCCTTCTCTATACAAAATGAAAAGGTGAGACTGACCTTTAATTTAGTTTTAAGTTTAAAGATGCACGCCAGAATTGACACCAGTTTCTGTAAATTATGCGTGTTGGATAAGACTGTTTATATTTCCCACTATTGAATCTGTCATTTTAAGTTATTTCTATAAATAAAACAACAAGCATTTGATTTTCAAATATATTTCAGTAATCAAAATATAATAATAGGCTTACACATTAATAGTTACGAATCGTATCTCATGACATGACCAAGGTTTTACAAAAACAAAAGCAAGACATTTCAAAATAACCACAATAAGACCACGAAGCTAAAAAACATTGTAGTATTTTTTTTAATATCACAAAAAATTTAAACATTCATTTCGCCCTACTGCACGAAATTAAAAATTATATTTACAAGCCTTTAAATTTAGAGTATCATAGTTTTTTTTACATAAATTGTTAGTGCACTTTATTCACATTGTGAATATTCCGCTTATTTAAGAATTAACGAAAAGCCCTTAAACACTAAATCGTGAGTTATGTACCTTTAACTTGTTGTGCACTTAACATTGTTTAAACAAGACCAAACTAAGAATAATTTTGTCCATTTTTTTTTCATTTCAATGGCTGTATGTTACTTTTCCTTGTTCATCATTAAAAGACTATTAGCTACCTATTTATTATCGTCGGTTATTTCAAAAATTAATACTTCCGTCCTGTATTTGTATTAAAATGCATTAAATTCTATAAAATATCCAATATATAAATTATTCAGCTAAATTTATTTACAATAGTCTTTTCGGCTACATTTTTTAATATTAATTTTCTTTTAAAACAACTAGGTTCTTTTTAATAGGCAAGCATTGTCGTTTTTCAATTCACGGAGACTTAGATACTAACAAAAACTGCTCGAGAAGGTATCACAAAAAGTCAGAAAAACAAATTAGTGCGTTCAGGAACTTCTTTCTAGAATATTTACATATTTTTTATAAAGGTACAATATCCTTAGAAATAATTTTATATCACAAATAAAATTCCAAACTATTTTTTTTTCTTTCGTATGAGCAATTATATTTTTTTAAACTACTATTGGTCAATATTGATACAAGAATATTAATGAAAACAATTAAAAATACATATTAAGTTTTATAAAATGAATAGTCACTTAAATACAAAATAAATATAGATTACGTATGTATGCGTAATTTTTTGTTCAATAATAATAGATATTTACCAAATTTTCGTTGCCAGCTTTTTAAACATTAAAAGTACTTAACACTGTTAGTTGTAAAGTATTTTTTTTTGTTTTCGCAGTTTATCAATTTTATAGAAATTATATATAATATTATCGTTTTAAATATATATAGATACAAAATCACGTATACTTATTTACTCATAAATACTATCTATTTTAAAAAAAAAAAACAAGTGTTTATTTTATGATTATTACAAATATCTATAATTATTGAACAAGAGAACAAAACATTCTTAAATTACTAAACAAAGGAATTATGGACGTATCGAAAACAACGAAAAAAATAAGAGAAAAATAATGCTGAGCATAATTTCTTCTACATTATTATTCTATCTAATTAATTTAATCTTAACTTTTAATCTGTATAATATTTTTAGCATACAGTACAAATTTTATGTATACTTCAAAAGCGTTTTTTTCTATAAATAATGTTATTTATAATTTTAAATGTATTGTACAAAGAACTGCGCCGTATGTATACAATGTTCATTAATTTAGGGTTTTTATTTTTAAATAATGGCAGAAGCGTCACTTTCATACGTCCTCTAGAAAAGAAAATACTTGATGTAATACGGCATTAAAATTATATAACTAACTTTATTTAAATAGCATAATATTTATTTTTCTTTTCATCTTATACCTTTTATTTACAATTCAATCACGTTTTCTTCGTTTCTTTTAACATTGTTTTGTTGTATCCTATCCTAAAAATTATAATTCTGAACAAAACATACATTCCGAGAGATATTTGCGTTATATAAATAAAAAAGAGTTATTATTAAGCTTATTTTTTAATTTGAAACGCCTGACGCTTTGTTATATGAAAAAGATACTTCATAAAATGGCAATATTGCTTATTCATATGTACACAAGCAACAGAGCTACCAGTTAAAAAATAATTATATTCTCGAAATGAATGTAATGTCCAATGAATTTTATAGAAAAAAAGCTGCCTCCTAACTAAATACTGGGAATCGAAAAAGTTGCCATGTCTCGAAAATAACCTTCCTACTGCAAATAGTAGTATTTACTCAACGGGAAAAATAGGAGTCCCTATTTTCTTTATCATGATTAGGTTATTTTTAATTACATTTTACAGATAAAGTCAGCGCTTAATTCCACTATTTTGAACCCAAATCGGTAATAAGTTTTTTTTGATTGATTATATAAATAGTATTAAATTACCCAAGCAGATTTCAAAATAGTGGAATTTCCTTAGATTTCAAGTCTTACCTCACTGGATGTTGTTATCACAATACAAGCAAATTCTAATATATAATCAAGTACATACAATTATTTTAATGATCTAAACAAAGTTCGGCAGTGGTTTTCGTAGAATGTGTTGCCACGTTAACACTATACTTAAGATATTGGTAGAAAATCTGTGTATGTGAGTAGTTTACAGTGGTAACTTTGAAAATGTTCGATTCATTTATAATTTATGAGCTTAGTTAAGTGTGTCTTGTAAACATTTTTGTGAAACAAGAGAATATTATGTCATTTATAATAATAAAATTACAAAATCCATAGATCAAAATATTTTTTTTATTCTCCTTGGAGCAACTTTTTTTTAATATATCCAATAACCCTTAACCAAACAGACAGTCAGGCGGACAACAAAGTGATCCTATACGAGTTCCGTTTTTTGGATTTGAGACAGTGTTACCAGACTACATAATATTTTCTAACTGTTCGGAAAATTTATTTTCTTTTTTCATGTCCACCAGGATATTATAGAAATCAAATCAAATGCCTGATCCTTAAGGAAGTAGCAGGAACATTATCACGGACCAAACCTCAACCACCTTAAAGTTATAAAAAAAAACCATGCCATTTTAATTTCTATTCACTCATTCTCAGACTGCGGTTTTCAGGCCTACAAAGTAAAATCGAACATAAGTTACCACATGTCCCCTTTAGTATCATAATATCGAGTTGACTATCTAAACGCAAACCACGGCCGAACAAGTCTTAACAAGACATCATCTGACGGCGAGTAGAGTCACGAGTATAAGTGCTGTGCTTGTAACTCGACTGGTGCCGCTATTATACTTACTGCTCTGCTCGCATGTACCTGTAAAGAATATCTTATATTAAAAAAAGAATATATTATTATTATTATTACGATAAAGTTTTCATTGTGAAAAGAATAAAATTTATGCTGAACATTGGGCTGTATGGACTTGGTAACCTTATCCAATTATGTATAATAAAAAAAACGTGGTATTGGTTGGTGGGATTTCGGTGACATATTGTAAAGCAAAGAAAATAATACTGAAAATTAGTGCAAGGGAATAAAATTTCACAGTATAATAATAATTGAGGAGCTGGCGAACAAAATGGTATAATAACCAAAAAAAACAGGAGCTGTATAAACCTAAATAAATACCTACGGTGAGGTTTTGGTATGGCTTTTAATTTATAAATTTAGTAATTTTAACACTGTTTTAGGCGGTTTTTGTGGCGGATTGAAAATTATTTGAGATTCAAATTCAAGGGGCCGGAACCTCGGGACTGTAAAAAAAATAGTTTGACCAGATGCGTAATAGGGTATTTGACAAGTTTTAGAAAACGATCTCCCGTTATTTACTAATGTTTATAGAGTCCATAAAAAGTGGATATTCAACATTATGTTGTGTATTTCGGTAAAAAAACCAAATCAAATACTCTATTTTCAAGTTGCCGCGAAAAACGTATTTCTGGACAATATGGCGTCTCACTGGTGTGTGACGTCACACGAATGTCATTAAAACGTCAAACCATACAATCAAATGTCACTTTAACCGGAAGTTTACTTGCGTGTGACGTCATTTTAGGCTCCACCAAGCCCAAGCGTTTTGGGGTCACGTGACAATAGACAAGAAAATCTTTATCGTGGGTTTTTAGTAAAATTATGAATACTTTTTCTGTAAAAATAGTATAAACTCCCGCCAATATTCATTCTAAATACAGATGCTAACAATTGGCACTTTATTTGTAATACTGTCAAATACCCATTATACCGTTTTGTTCGCCAGCTCCTCAATTATAATTAATATTTAATATTATGATATATTTACCATTAACGGTGAGATTGTAGACAGTATCGGCGGCTGTTAGGGCTCGATCACAGGAACCGCCTGCGACGCTCAGCCACATGCGGCCCGAACGAGTTTCTGTACGAACAAACAAACAAATGTTTTTAAAACTATAGTAATTCATGGCACTTGCAACAGTGCCGAAATATCTGGGTGTGGACTGGAGTATTCCAGCCTTTGGTTGCAACTTCGTATTTTTGTTGAAAAGGTTTCGTAGTGAGAAGTGCCGCGACTTGTTTTTCGAGTGTATAAATTTTGTGAAATTATACTAAACTCGTGAAATTAAAAATCATAACAGGCGGCACCCAAATTTCCAATCGCTGTATTAAAAAGTCGGATTGCAATAAAGCTTCTGACTTTAATGATGCTTCCTTTCCCTGAGATGTCCCCGAAGTCGCTAGTATTGCGTTTGTTGGAAATTTGATATTGTCAAAAACGCTCTCGAAACGTAACCGCGAAAGTGCTAGAGATCGAATTTGCCAGATCACTGCGGGTCGCGATAGAGGTTGAGTAATGCGGCTCATTCTAAAATGAGCCTTATGCAGTGCGGCGTAAGGGTGAAAGTGTAACGACACCTGCACTTGTTTATAAGTTATGCGCGTTACCTGCGTAGGTATAAGTAGGTACTTCGTACCCGCGGGTGCTAGCTAATTCTCAATTTAACAGGTACTTTCTAGAATGCGTCGATCGGCGAATATTAGCGCGATTGGCGCCGCGCAGAGACAGTTGAGTTTCAACAGCGATTTCGGAGCGAATCCAAAGGCGATCAAAGTGCAACCAAAGTGTTCAAGCGCGATAGTTTAGAGACTTGTATAATAAAATACAGTGTTTAGTGAGTGTTTTGTAATAGGCTAGTTGACCCTTTTTGGAAAAAGGTTTTAAATGGTTAATAAATGTTCTATTAGACCGAAAAAAATGTATTGTATTTTTTTATAAACCTAGAAAGCTACAAATCTTTAATTTTAAAATAGACTTTTCATGGACATACAAAAATGCTGTCGGCCATTTTAGTCTATATATTATCTATGCTATGACGTGAACTGTGGTAAACAAAAACTCGTAAACACGTAGAAAATTACTTTTAACTGAGTTTATAATAAAAAAAAACATGATTTCTAATAACACATCCTTGAAGACTCCAGGAAAGTTGTGGATTAAAGTGCCGAAAGAAATTAACCTACGCAACTTTATTACATTTATTCATATGTTGTATCAGTTTTATGTTTATTACTACATTGTAATACTAAATGCACTGTACTTACATAGATGCCTTATCGTTTCTCTTCAGAGCAGCCTTCAGAGCAGAAATCGGTTTAGTGCAACAAATTCACCAACCATCAATGCGTCAATTCTTGGCAGATTTGTGCTTTCTGCTTTCACAAAGCCGGCATCCATAATTAGTTTTGTCAAAAAAAATAAGTTTACTGTTTTTTTCTTTCCTAAAGTTAAAAGTGTTTTAAGATAAATTTAGTCGGACGAAAGAATCCACCTACAGTAACACGCGAATGACATTTAGTTGTTTACCACAAGAGACGTCATAATCATGGCGGATGTGACGAACAGCGTTTTTAGTGTTTAAAAAATATAGACTAAAAATATTTTTTTAAATTAAATTTCTACAGCAATCTTCTGCTTTTATGAAGTGAAATCGATATATTAAGGTTCCTTAGACTAAATACTTTAAGAAATAAACATTTATTTATACAATTCGACATGAGTAAACTAGCCTATTAACATTGTGTGTTAATTGTGTGAACTTTGCGGTGAATAAAGAACTGTCAAGCGTGAACTGGCATATAATTTCGAACCCCATCCCGACACGTAACAATATCACTTAGTCTTATTCTTTTCCATACATCGTTAACTTTGTTTTTTTTTTGTGGTTATGATATTTCGGGTCCCGTATAATTGCTTCCGCTTGATATGATATAACTCCATTTAGTGCCAAGAGCTAGCTAAAGCATTTTTTTTAGTGTGTATTCTGTTGGTCGCCTATGACCTTTACAGCGTCACCGGGTTTGGGGACGGCGAGATCCTAATGGGACCTCAAGCCGAGAATTGGCGAGAGCCTCTAGAGGTATTCCAGGCGGATGGCATCTCTCTACAATATAAACATTCTCGGAGCTCAAGATGTTAACGTGATCTAGCAAGCTATAACGTCATCTTAGTTTGATTTATAAAACTAATTATTCTTTCTATCTCTCTCCTCTAAGAAAGAAGCTCTAGCAAAAGGAGTAACAGACTGGCAGGCAGACACGCTTACATTTGTAATATTAGTAAGATTATTTGTTTGTTTCTTACCTTTAGTGCGCGGGTCTTTAAACGGCTGAATAGATTTAGATGAAATTTGGCATATACATAGTTTGAGTCCCGTTAAAGGATATAGGGTAGTTTCCATCCCAGAAATCATCCTTTAAGAGGGTGAAAAGTAGGGTGGAATTTGTCTGGACAAGTATTATTTCCACATTGACGAAGCTAGTACACTATAATTTCAGACAATTATGATTGTACTATTTTTATTTTTTAAGCATTGAACTGCTAGATGTTTAAATCTCAAGTGTCTTGCAGCCTAAGGCTAGAGAAAAATCGACACGGCCGCTAGGGCCGCGGTAGCATAACGGTCAGTACATTCGCCCGGATAGCGAAGCGTGCGGGTGCGAGTCCCGTCTGCTGCCTGGTCCGATTTTTTTGATTATGATTGTTTGTCTGCCTGGTCCGCGTGGAATTTTATCTAGTAAACTTTTCTTTAGATATAAATTATGATCGTTTAACGATGTTTATAAGTGACAGAACTTACCGTTAGTGCGCGGGTCTCTATACACGAGGCAGGCGGTGTGAGGATGAGTAGAAGCTCTTGCTAGAGGGGCTGCTACTAGGTACCCGCTGCCTGATGAGGACCAACTCCCATAGCAGGTGTACACTGTGAGAAAAAAAGTTTAGTATTAATAATGGGTGAAGAAAGAAAGAAAAACATTTATTGACGACATACATTAACAGTTACAATAAAACACATAAAACATAAAACAAAAGGTCCATCGTCAACTAGGTCCCACCTCAGCATAATGTTGCAAAGACAAAAATGGATTGCCGCTGCAACGCTGATATTCTGGAGGGACCTAATTTGGGCATCAACGGACGGAGACACAAGACAATCACTTAATATATAAATAAGAAAAGTTATTAATATAATAATATTAACACTAAACAAAAACATAAAGCAAAAACAATCATCCCTTGCCCAAGAATGTGAAGTCCATCACAAAAACAAAAAACTTAATCTAAGAGGCTGTGTGGGCTAAGCTCTTTGCCTTCGGATACACAAAAAGAAGAGGAGGAAAAAAACCATTACTTGTGATATATGTCCATCTTATGGAATAAATAAAACAAAATGGAGACAAGACGACACGTAATAAAACCACGTCATCGGACCATTTTACAACGTGGCACAGCATTACAAAATAACGTTGTTCATTATGAACCGGGCCGAGAAAGACACTCTAAACTTAAAACTAAATTAAACATCAGTCTCTCCTTTTCATTCCGTATAGAGAATAACAAGGATACACTGTTGTCAAATTTAAGTTTAGGTTTAGAGAATCGTGTCAGAATTGACACCATTGTTTACCGAACGAAATTCAGATTCCGTGGCCCGAAAAACCGTTCGCAGAATGCCGGAGCGTCTTCACCGACAAAAATTGTTTTTTGTGAATATCCCGAAAGTATGTTTAATTATACCACTGAAGGAAATTTCATTTTTTTTGGTTCGTTCGCAATTTATAGTAGTTAAATGTAATTATAACCTCCTTCTTATTCCAAAAAGCGGACTAAACTTTTAAACCCTAATGTTGTCTGTCTTCTTTTTAGTAATCAAAAGTGACAGCATCAGTTTTTAGTCCAGGTTTAACTGTAGTCTACAATTCAATTCAATTTATTTTCATTAAATTGGGTACAAATAATGGTGTTACATTTGATCTAAAATTGTATCTTATTCTATTTAGTCATGGCAAGCATTAGATTCATGTAATTTGTGACGGTGTGTTCATTGTTTACTGATAAGTCACCGATGACACTAATCGTAACGCGTTATTGTAACAGATTCACTAGTTTACCCCCCAAGTCAAGCGTGCCTAAAGAACACTTCACTTCAAAAAGATAACAAGCAATTTTTATATCAATTTATCAATTACCTATTTAGTAATTCTTTTTTTGCTCTATGGACAATTTATTAATTTTGCAATAACTGCTATACTTAAAACTTTAAGTGATCTATACAGAAAATCAATAATATTTAAATACAAATTACCTTAACCTACTTATAAATAACATGTTATTTACAAAATAAAAAATAAGTCCCAATGGTGCCCAATAGGCTGGCAGCATTGCCACGTTGAATGGCAATGCTGATCCTTTGACCAAGATAGCTGCCAGCCTTTTGATCACCAGTAACTTCGGTGAGTCTCTTTGATATTTCCTTAAAAAGGAACGAGCGCTCGGACCCCATGGGCCCATGGTCTCAACACCAAACGGCACAAATATATAGTTCTCATTGAGAGCAGGTCTCTTGCCATCGTCACGAAAGATGCCGCTAGGCTCAAGGACCGCTGGCATGTTGACAGCGACAAGAGCTCTGCGGATGACGTCATTGGTGCAGGCAGTAATTCTTATTATTATCTTTATTTGATGTTGTCAATTTATTCATGCCAATAATTATTACGTTTTGTAATAAGGCGGATTTTGTTACTATTTTGTTACTGACCTGTGGTAGCACAATGAGATGAAAATTCTATGGTGTCCTGCGAATTGCCGCATCCGAAACTGACGCTTTCATATGCGCCGGCGACGCATTCCGTCGCCACTTCGCTGCCTGCAAACGATAATAATTAGTCATTAATGAGATTAATTGCCGTGTTGTTCGTTTATTGCCGTTATAATAAACTATTTGACAGTATCTATACATATAATAAAATGGTAGGAAAGTCAAAAAGTGTATATTGAATATTTTTTTTAAATAATTCTTGGGGTGTGATCTGCAGTCGATACCGAAGCCAAAAATATAGTTTTTAGAATTTTTGTCTGTTTGTCTGTATGTGTGTCCGGGATAAACTCAAAAAGTACTGCATGGATTTACTCTAAATTTGCCACGAATATTATTGAGAAGTCGGGTCAATATATAGGCTACATATTATCACGCTATCACCTATGGGGAACGAGCAGTGAACCTTTATTTCTAACTAACTCCACGCGTACGAAGTCGTGGGCGGCCGCTAGTGAAAAATTCATCATTCTGTTGTGTATTACAGTAAAAATAACCAAATCAAAAACTCCATTTTCAAGTTGCCGCGAAAACGTTTCTCTGGACAATATGGCGTCTTACTAGTGTGTGACGTCACACGACTGTTACTAAAACGTCAAACGATACAATGTAATGTCACTTTAACCGGAAGTTTACTTGCGTGTGACGTCATTGTGGGCTCCGCCAATCCCAAGCGTTTTGGGTGACGTGACAATAGATAAGAAAACTATTATCTTTTTCGTTGGTAATTAGTAAAATAATGAATATTTTTTTTTGTAAAAATAGTAAAATCCCCTGCCATTATTCATTCTAAACACAGATGCTAACAATTGGCACTTTATTTGAAATACTGTCAAATACCCTATTGTGTAAAGACATGTATAATGTACATTGAGTGTAGTACTGTGAGTTTAAGTAAGAACTGTTTGAACTATGTAGTGAATAAAGATCTGTTAAGCGTGAACTGGCACAAAATTTCGAATCCCATCCCTGAAGGTAACAATATTATAAATACTGCTTAGCACGAACCAATATCGAAGTCGTTCGTTTGCGAGTCCGAAATGTCATTGTCAAATGTGTACTGATTTTTATTTCTCGTTACGTACTTTGTGGCGCTGCTGTTCAAGTTTCAATACAAAATTTGACTATTTGATTTCGACAAACTAATCGAATTCGATAATGGATCGTGCTACAGAAGTTACCCTATTTATAACGTTTATAAACCTAAGCTGCTGGACTGAATATGACGAATTTTGACTTGAAGACAGAAGAAGGTTCTTCGCGTAATTATCTCATTTCAATAATTTTCATCGCGCTGTCAGGTGCTTTCAAGGTAACTAATAGGGACGATGACTATTTTTTTTTCTTCGTTTATCAGGTATTCGTATAAAAAGTATTCGACAAGTATTTTTTCTTTTTTCACATATTAAAAACATTGCAGATATATATTGATTTGAAAAGCCGCATGACGTCACGTTTTGGTACAATTTTCACTTAAAAGTGACGTCACGAGCCCCTACTCCCAAACTTTGACTCGCTATAACTTTGTCATTTTTTGGTTGATTGCCCAAAAAAATACGTGTCCATTATTTTTTGATCATCTAACTGACGGACTAAATATAATTTCGTTTACTGTACCCCGTCATCACCCCTATTGTCAATATTAATCCCAATTTGGGAGTACTTGAAGTATATTTTGTTCCGTACCTATAGTCGCCTGCTGTCTTCTTCTGCGACGATCTGTGGGCGAGTTCACGACGTTGTACCGACCCAGTATCGGACAACGCATCGGCACCAAATTTGTAGCTGAAAATAGATATGTTCGGATTAATTTTGGATTTTATTTAGGTAGGGGAATTTATTTGGGTTGTGTGTGAGCAACAATTTATTCCCCAAATGGTGAACGCTTATATCAGAATATATTATTATGCTAGTTTGCCAACCTATTTTAAATTGACAAAAGTTTCACAATTAGGTTCCAGATGCTTGAAATGGGGTTTAAATGGCATAGTTTATTTTCGAGTCCCTTTTGAGAAAATAAGAAAACCTATGGCAATATTTTTGTATTTTTAGGCATTTAACTATTAGATGTTTTAATCCAAAGAAATTTTTACTAGAAAAAATTCACGCGGACCAAGCAGCAGACGGGGCTCGTACCCGCACCCTTCGCTATCCGGGCGAATGCACTGAGCATTATGCTACCGCGGCCCTGAATTTTTTCTAATAAAATTTTCTAAAAATTTAACCACGTGCTAGTTTAATTTAATTGTATGTCATCGAGTTTCAAGCCAATTAATTATTAATTTTTAGTGTCTTTCAGTGAACCTTTTTTTCTTTTTTACATTGTTTGGTACTCCAAATATTTATATTTTATATCTATTTATATTATTTCCAAATAAAGCTTAATCATAATAATAAACTTTATTGGCTTGAACAATAATGTGATCTTAAACTAATGATCAGCATATCCTTTTAAGCTTGAATAGCCTATTTCAGGCGATACTGCTTAATTACTATAAGCGTTATGATATTATTTGCTGATTGAATTTCGGTGACGGATCTACTATTTTAGAAAAATAAATATTATTATTTCTCAAGTGATTAAGAATGCGTTTGATGTTTGATAACATCACACCCATTACCTTTTAAGGGTATCTCAAATAAATATTAAGAGAACATCATGTATTTCTTACATATGAGGGTGAGATACGGCTCGGGATCTCCCCTGGCAGTGCAGGCGTCTTCAGGGCTGTCCCATAGAGAGGACCCCTGTTGTAGTTCTAACACGCCGCTGGAACGACGGTAGAACTTGAGGCAAGCGTGGCCTGATTCGCTGAAATAAACAAATTAATATATCTAATCTAATATATAAAATTGTCATGTCACGGTGTGCGTAATTGAACTACTCCTAAACGGCCCGCCCGATTTTCGTGAAATTTTATATGCATATTCAGTAGATCTGGGAATCGGACAAATTATCTATTTTTCATCCCCCTAAATGTTAACTCTTAAACTTTTTTATACAAATGTTTTTGTTTTTATTTTTTTATGAAACATCATACAAAAATCCACACAAACTTAAATTTTCACCCTTCTACCACCAACCCCTATTTTTTACGGCGGTACGAAGTTCGCTGGGACAGCTAGTATTATATATAAATCAGTTTAAAAATATAGCAAGTAAAATATATAAAGTCTCGTTGCCGTGTATACAAAATGTTTTATCTCTACTAAGTTTCAAAAAAGTACATCCTGCTAGGTTGAAAGAAACAAAATTTTGATACCTGCGTACTCTGTTACTATCTATAGTGAAGGCCTGTACAGACCCCTCTTTCCCAGTGGACACTTTGGGCAACGACCCAGGGCCCCGCGATCGATAGGGGGCCCCCTCAGATCAAATACAAAGTCCCTAGTTCCTGAGAGATCCCCAAACGATAACCAATATTTATTACCAAAAAACTTATATAATTCTATGAAATCGAACCTAAATTACTGACTTCAATACAAACTTACTAGCTTTTACATAAGCGAAGCTGTGCTACTCTCTCGGTATACTAAGCACATACACATTTTAAAGAAAAATCATCAGTAGTACACTCATCAGTGTGACTCGCTCCATTTCAAGTCATAATCCACATCAAAGTCATAGGGGCCCCATTATCCTAATATGCCCAGGGCATCCAATAGGTTAAAGACGGCCCTGCCTGTGCAGCATTAGGAACATTAATGCACTAATATTACCTTATGGTAAAGAGCTAGGTAGGTACTATATTATTTTCCAAAATAGATAAATGATAAAGAACTACTTAATTATTTAAAAAAAAACGGTTGTCTGTAAAGTCGGTTTACTGACGATAGTTGAACGTGACAACGTTTTTTTACAATGTTCATAGTTTTTTACAAGTATGAATGTGCTTTGAGCAATTGTTTTACAAGTTTTAAACATGTGTGATATCATTACCTTTATCGCCGCAATTATGGTTGCTATAAACAATTGACACCACATTCACTTTTCACTGCACTTCATACTTGACGAAAACATGTAAATGTATTATTGTATAGCAGCTGTCCACGCGGATGCATCGCTCACTCAAGTAGGAGAGAGACAGATGCCGAACGCTGCCGAACGCGGAGGCCGATTGTGCCTCTTTTTCGCTCGTTGCGCGCTCTCGCTTGCACTTCAAGCCTTAAATGGAACGCCTCACAGCGAAGTAACGCCGCATGAGTCATGTTTTTTCGTGCGAGCAGCCGGATGCATCGAATTATAAGACGTTGTCACGTCAAAAATGTTTTACTTACCATCCCCTAGTCACGTGTGCGACCAGCTTTATGTGTTTCTTCTCTTTCTGTTCCAGTATAGAGTGACACACCAGCCTCTTCTCCTCGTAACTGCCGTCTGCGTTCATAATCTGAATAAAGAAAAACATTATTTATTAATTCTTAAGTTTTCACGTACACCAAACAACGATATTAAATACCCTAGATACAACAAGACGACAAAATCGAGGCCAAACCCTGTCCAAAAGGTACATTGGACGATCCACAGAGCTAAGTAAGATGATCGCGTTGTCAAAAGCAAAATAAGGCATTATTTAAATATTGACAGTCACCTTTAATGCATATTGTATAAGGTCTTAGTTGGATGGGTGATCAAAAATTTATTATCTCCCACTCCTCCGTGCTTCGGAAGGCACGTTAAGCCGTTAGTCTCCCTATTCCATCCAAATGGAAGATCTGTGCCCCAGCAGTGGGTACATTAATAGGCTGATGATGATGAAACAAATACCTTAAGTGTAGCATTCTTCGTAGTAAAGTGGTATTGGTGAGTATGGTCCAAACTAAACCATTTGTGGTGCTCCAAGATCCACGAGGGGAAATGGCAGCGGTTGTGCTCGTCGTCACCTGGAAATTAAAAAAGTAAAAATTAATAACCATAATATTTCCAACACACACCAATTAGCACAAGGCCCAAACTGTACATATATAAGTATATTTATTTAGAAATACACATTAAACATCCATGACTGGAGTACAAATGATCGTATTAGTCACACAAACATCTGCCCTCACCGGGATTTGAACCCGGGACCTCTTGAGTCAGCGACAGCCATGAAACCCGGCGTACAAACTACTCGGCCACGGAGGTCGTCAAAGAAATTATGACGATTAATTAAATTTAAAGCAAATTAAGCTTTATTGTATGGGGTATACAGTGTACAGCGTGAGAATGTAAGTATCTCACTTAAGAGCCATTTCACATTTTTTGCAAAACATCGTAATTTTTGAGCGCCTCGTTTCCCCTTAGAAAAGATTTTGACTATTTCCAATAGGAGTAAACAGTAGATTTATTCTTCCTTTTGTAAGTTAATGTAGAATATTTGCAAATACTATTTTCCTGTTCTTGTACTGGTCGTGCTACTGCAGCTAGTTTACGGAAAAAATGATAATATGCACAACTTCAAACGCTTCAATCTCTCAATAAATTAGATCAAATTACTCACTACGACATCAGAAATATGTTTTTGTTGTAACATTTTCCATCTCATTAATTATCAAAAAAAAACATCTAAATTCCGTGAGTTGTCCTAAAAAATAAATAATGCAGGTTTACCTCGTCTTTTGATATTGAATTAAATAGAATAACTATCAAAAACTTTCATAAAACTAATCTACCATCATTGAAGTACTGAAATATGTACATATTTTTATAATTAGTTCGTTAATAATTATTTTATAACACTTAAAACATCACCCGTAAAGTGCAATACATACTAGTGCAAATCTACCTACGCGCCGATCAATACGGCATCGGCGGAATTTTGTAAAAGGGCTCTTAAATAAGACAGATAAATAGCAACATAATAAATAAATAATAATAAATAAATATTTCCGACACTCACACCAATTAGCCTAGCCCCAAAGTAAGCACTATAAGGCTTGTGTTATGGGATGCTAGGGTAACGGATAGAATACATATACTGTACATATATAAGTATATTTATATAAATACATATTAAACATCCATGACTGGAGTACAAATGCTCGTATTCATCACACAAACATCTGCCTCCACCGGGATTCGAACCCGGGACCTCTCGAGTCGGCGACAGCCATGAAACCCGGCGTACAAACCACTCGGCCACGGAGGTCGTCAAATTTCACATGATTCAACATGATTTCATCCAAATCCGTTCAGCCGTTTTTGCATAATGATTTACAAATATTCAAATTTTCTCAATTATACTATTACTAACGTGCGCACGCGATATCGCCTGCATGGAAAAATTGGTTTCCCATACAGACTTTCATCTCCCATTTCACTTATTCAAATTTTATATTTCCACAAGAAAAACAGCCAACACCCGGCTTCAGGGTCTCATCAATTTTTAGCTGGGTTTAACAAACAAACTTACTTTCGCATTTATAATATATATATATATTAAAACTGGCAGTTGGTTAACTTCATGATGCGACTACCGTCAGTGAGTGGAAAAACTATATTGTATATCATACACTTAACATTGCGCTGTAAGATATTAGTAAAGATATAGGGTGAAAATTTAGGGTTGTATATATGTATATGGAGGAGCTCGATGGCGCAAGTGGTTAGCGCGTTCCGCAGCGATCGTTGAATTTAAGCAACTTTCGCAGTGGTCGGTCATTGGATGGGTGACCATAATTTACTATCTCGAGCTCCTCCGTGCTTCGGAAGGCACGTTAAGCCGTTGGTCCCGGCTGCATCTGCAGTCGTTAGCACCCACCAACCCGCACTGGGCCCGCGTGGTGGGTCATGGCCCAATCTCCCTATTCCATCCATAGGGAAGCATGTGCCCCAGCAGTGGGGACATTAATAGGCTGATGATGATATGTATATGTATGTTGTATGATGTATCGAAAAAAAAAAATGGTTGCCTGTAAAGTCGGTTTTACGGGCGAAGATTTTACGTGACAACGTCTTTTTCTCGGTAGAATATTTATTGATATGAATATAATTAAATTGCACAATAGGAACAAGGAATTGAATGAAAATAAGAATTGCACAAATTTTAACTATAGAAATATATTTTGTTTACTAAAACATTGTACATGTAAACTTAAACTTAACACGAGAGACTCATCGTAACGTTACCGAGCGTTACACTTTTTCATAAGTGACTCCCAGCCGCAACCTAATTTAAGACGTTGTCACGTCAAAAACAAAATATTGATACAAAAAAAAAGAAATTTAAGGGTGGACCACCCTTAATATTCAGGGGGATGAAAAATAGATGTTGTCCGATTCTCAGACCTTCTGAACATGCATATAAAATTTCACGAAAATCGGCCGAGCCGTTTCAGAGTAATTCAATTACGCACACCGTGACACGAGAATTTTATATATTAGACTAGCTGGCCCAGCGAACTTCGTGCCGCCATAAAAATAGGGGCAGGTGGTAGATGAGAAAATCTAGGGTTGTATGTATTTTTTAATACCACATTATAAAAAAAAAGTCCAGAAAATATTTTAGAGGTGTGTAACGTACTGTTCTATCAATTTCCTGGGATAACATTCCTCCTAACCCATATGAGAACACTACGTTACAATACCCAATAGTTTGAATTTTGGCGCGAAGGCGCATTGTAGGTTTCAGAACACTACGTTACAGGTGGACAAACATTATCACTTAAGGATATGAAAAATAGATAGTAGCCGATTCTCAGACCCACGGAATATGCATATAAAATTTCATAAAAATCGGTCAGGCCGTTTCGGAGGAGTATGGGTAACTAACATTGTGACACGAGAGTTTTATATATAACATATAATAATATACATATTATTAATACTGACTGTTGGTAAGTTTCATAATGCGACTGCCGTCGGTGGGTGACGATACGCCATTACAAGTGGCGTCGCCGGACTGAGCTATGTTGTATGTCATACTCTTATCACTATGCTGGCCTTTGTAGATGAAGCATCTGTGAACAATTATTGTTGGAAAATTAGTTAAACGCACCATGTGCCACCGTAATTAATAAAAACTATGGAAAAAACTAACTATATAGGTAATAACTGATAAATACTTGCTAATATAGGAGCTCAGTGGCGCAGATGGTTGACGCATTTGGCCAGCGATCGTGAAAGTTAAGCAACTTTCGCAGTGGTCGGTCATTGGATGGGAGACCAAAAATCTTCTATCTACAGTTCTTCCGTGCTTGGGAAGGCACGTTAAGCCGTTGGTCCCGGCTGCATCTGCAGTCGTTAGCACCTACCAATCCGCACTGAGCCCGCGTGGTGGGTCATGGCCCAATCTCCCTATTCCATCCATAGGGAAAGCCTGTGCCCCAGCAGTGCGGACATTAATAGGCTGATGATGATGATGAATGTAGGTTAATATTTAATATACCTGTAAGTATCTTCATCGGAGGCTATTGAGTTCCGCCTCTGCACCTGTGATATTTGGCCGACCAAGTACCGGGTGGAACCCTCCTTCCAGGTCGCTAGGCAGACCAGTTCTTCCACTGAAATTATAATAATAATATATAATATTTCCCACACATACACCAATTAGCCTAGCCCCAAAGTAAGCACTGTTGAGGTTGCGATTAGCAGTGGCTGGCCGGTTAGGTTTTTTTGAATAGAAATACCATTTTTTTCTGTTCGTTGTCATAGTATTTTTTTTCAGTTACTTCATGTCATGATTTAATTTTATGAATACGTAAAATATTTCATTTGTGTGAATTTGTATTTCTAAAGAATATATTTATTGTGTCCTATCTTCGCGGTTTTTATTTGAAGATAACACGATCATCGGGCTTCACTTGTACGAACCTTCACAAGCACTGTAAGGCTCGTGTTGTGGGGTACTACTACGGTAACAGTTAGAATACAATAATTTGATACATATATAAAGTCGGGGTATTATATGTATGATACATATAGAAATATATATTTAACATCCATGACTAAGGTACAAATGCTCGTATTCATCATACTAAAATTTGCCACCCACCGGGATTCAAACCCTACCGCTTAAGAAGGCAGCACCACCACTCTCACCAATTAGCCTAGCCCCAAAGTAAGCACTGTAATGCTTGTGTTATGGGATACTAGGCGAACGGATAGAATAAATATAACATATTAAACATCCATGTCTGGAGTACAAATGCTCGTATTCGTCACACAAACATCTGCACCGGGATTCGAACCCGAGAACTCTCGAATCGGCGACACCATGAAACCCGGCGTACAAACCACTCGGCCACGGTGGTCGTCAAAATCAAAAATGAAAATGATGTTTTCAAATATGCCACGTAAACGTTTCTCTAACAAATATGAAGTCTCACAAGCAGATGACGTCACACGGCTCTTATTCTGAGTTATTAAGGCCCACCTGCAGCAAATTTGCTAAATCTCGGATCAACTAAAACTAGCTTCGACCCATAGAAAATGTCAAAACTTCGATGTCAATTTTTCATTATTGTATAGACTGAATTTAGTTCTAGTTAAGTTCTAGGTGGTCAGGGGGGAGCCCCTGACCACGTTTACGTAACAAAAAACATATAAGTCACGTAGTATGACTACGTTCAAAAAATTAAAAACATAAGTCACGTAGTATGACTACGTTCTCTTTACTCTATTCGATTTCCTCTTAGACAAAAGCTAAACCAATAAACCAATGTTTCTTAAACTATTTTATCCAAAGCGAAGATGGCCGGTGTGAACAGACTAATTACAAAATTCATACTTCAACGTAAATTATTAACTTTATCACAACTCTTTATTTTGTTGTATTATGATGCATTCAAAGTTTAGGAATTGCTGCAGTATAAGGTATTTTTAGTAACGATATTGGTTTTTTCACACGCTTTTATTAGTTTCACCTGTATGTTTGTTTGTATGTAACTGACTCATTTGGACTCGATTTTGCTCAACTTTAAACGATAAGATTTACTTTTAACTTGGCAAATATATGTAGATTAGATGACAATACAATATTATGGTACCACCGAGATGATCTGATGATGGGACAGGAAGGTGACTGATGGAACCTTGGAATGCCTACTAGTAAACATATCGAGTTTGGGCTCATTAGATTCGTCTTAACAAATTCTGTTCATTTCTCCTGATGACGAGGACCTGATGATGGACTGGAAGGTAGTTGATGGACCCTGGCCTGCCTACTAGTCAACATATAAACATGGCTTACTCTAAAGCCCTAATGAAGTAATCAGAGAGTATATTTTGTTTATTTTTGACTTTTAAGTGCAGTATGTAAAAGCGTGTTTTTAGTTATTTAAACTATTAATTATTGTAATATTTTGACCCGGCTGCACGCACGAAAAAGTGTCACGTTAGGCCTAAGCCTGAACGTGCAAGCGCGAGCGCGGCACAAGCGATAGAGGCACGATCGGCCCCAAGCGTCGCCTTGTACACATTTATCTCTCTTCTCGCGTGACGTCAGAGCTAGCAATATGAATTTTTCATCAATGTTTTCTTTTAAACGTTATCACGTAGAACTATCGTCCGTAAACTGACTTTATAGATAGCCAATTTTTTTAAATTATAATTTTATATGTGTACTAGCTGCCCGCCCTCGCTTCGCTTCGGTGTAGAGTTGAAGTGTAGACTACAGTTTTTGTTTTCAGGCTTGTATTATACACAATGACATTCATCTATGATTCTTCTTATACCTGCATGCAAAATCTCAGCCCGATCGGTTTAAAATTGACAAAGTTTCATACAAACTTTCATTCCCTATTTTATCCTCTTGGGGGTAGAATTGATCAAAATCCTTTCTTAGCGGATGCCTACGTCATAACATCTACCTGCATGCCAAATTTCAGCCCGATCCGTCCAGTGGTTTGGGCTGTGTGTTGATAGATCACTATGTCAGTCAGTCACCTTTGAGTTTTATATATATAGATTAAATTCGACCTATTGTGAAAATGATTTTTCATTTTTATGATTTGTTTATCGTTTGTCTAAGCGGAATTTGAATAGAGTATAAGTGAGTGAATTCACCATTGCTCTCAGTTCCCGGTACATCGGGACAGGCCATGTACCGCAGCAGTAGTCTGGAGTTGTCTGTGCACGCCTCGGCCCGGGAAGGTGGATTTGTGCAGTCGCCTGTGCCTCTGGAACGAAATAAACAAATCATTAATAAATTGGTGGGAAACTTCTTGAGCTAAATTATAGAGCAAGTAGCGGCTATCTTTAGTTTTTTGAGTATTCCACAGAATACTAACATTTTTTCGTGGTAAAAAGTATGTCGATATCTCAATCCAGGTCATACAATGCATACCAAACATCCAAAGCCGTTCAGTATTTTTTGCGTGATTGAGCAAAAAACATATAAACATAGAACAAACTTTACATATTTATGATATACCAGGTTACCAGGCCACTCAGAAAGTTTTGCGAAAAAAAGTTTTTTTTGTATAAGACACTGACTACTTGTAATTATTTTGAAAACTTCGATTATTGTGGGTTACCCACAATGCGAAGAGATGGCGCTGCCTTGCAGCCTAAAGCTAGAGAAAATTCAACACGGCCGTCAGGGCCGCGGTAGCATAATTGGTCAGTGCATTTGTCTGGATAGCGAAGGGTGCGATGTTCGAGTCCCGTCTGCTGCCTGGACCGTTTGGAATTTTTTCTAGTAATATTTTCTCTCGATTTAAACATCGAGCAGTGACATTCTTAAAAAGTAAAAATTATAACTAAATTATTCTTTATCTGGCACCTAGCTTGTACTCGCCAATCACAGTGTCAACTAAAGCGACCATCTCTTTAATGTTCATATTACTTTTTTTCTTACGGTCTTACTGGTAGACTGCGACTGGTAGAGAATGCTTTCTGGCATTATGTCCGCCATTTGCTTTGTTAAATAAATAAAATTATATTTTGGATATTCCGGTTAATAAAAATCGGACCAGTAGTACCTGCCTGTAGCCATCCGAGTTCTGTTGACTATTAGTTTGTATTTATTCAATATAGAGGTTTATGTGAGAATACGCCACTTTGGCACTTGATATTATAGTCCAAGCGCCCAAGGAGCAAAATCGGAGATTTTTGGATTTACTCGAGCGCGGCAGAAAAGGGACAAACTTGTACCTTGAGAGGTACTAATTTTTTTCGGAGCTTCCGCGGCATCTTGACTCTTCAACGGTCCGCGCGTCACTGCGAACCAAGAAGTGCTTGAGAAGTGTGGTGTCCAAGCACTTCTTGATTGGTACACATTCTGAACGCACGTGGTGTATTAAATATCGTCGTTTTAAGCATTCTTCTGTAGATTCTCACCTACTGGGGTGGAAAGCGACAGGTACAGGTTTGAATTCTTACCTATCTATACCCTAACCACGTACCAATATTTAATTCTAATAGTTGAATTTGATCTCATTACGCGTCAAATGTCAAGAAGTTTTGTATGGAAATTTGAACAACGCCACTACGGATGGAAAGAGAATTAATAATCTTCCATTCAAAACTTCTTGACATTTCACGCGTATCGCGATCGAATTCAACTATTCCAATTCGATACTGGTTGGTACTAAGGGTAGGTAGGTACTGATGCGTGGACCGCGTGGAACTTTTTCTAGTAAAATCTTTAGAAAGAAAGAAAGAAAAGCTTTTATTGACCTTACACAAGTATGTAAAAAAAATGGGTGCGTGTACTTATGTAGGCGCGTGAGAAGTTATCCTTCTTTGGCATCGTTTAAAATTAGTTTTTAATTGCATGCAAATAATTAATTACAATAAATTATTAAAAAGTCTGGAAAAGGACACAGTCAATAAAGTTCAGTTTTAATTTGAAAAAATAAATAAATAATCAAAATATTCAATTAAAATCGCTACTGAATATGATTTATTAGAACAATTATGTGATTTGCACTTGTATGAAACTCAAACACGTATTCCGAATATACAAACTAGAAACATGTGGATAAATATTATAAATATGAATACCTATAACTGTTACTTTATTACAAAAAATAAAGATGTGGTTTTTGGTTCTACTACATCAATGGTCAAGAGATGACGCTGTAGTCTCCTGAATCGCGCTTTGGTTCCGTTGTTCCAGATTAATAAATACTTTTGATAGGCCTTCACAATGCAGTCGTTAGCACCCACTAAATAGAGATTCTATTTCTATTTTGTTGGTAAATTTTCATAATGTGCGGTAAACACAAAAAGCGACCAACTTCATGCTGTTAAAATTTTGTGTTACAGTGATGCGCGCGCATCTTAAAATTTGACTCTCATCATTTTTTCATAACGCGCCTAAAGAAGTATAACTTCAAAAACATAGCAACAAAAATAAAATAACAACAGTGAGCAACAATATGGAGAGAGAAAAGGCCAATCAGGACCCTGCCTCAGCTTAATGCTGTTATAGTAGGAGTGGAATATTCCCACCATAACAGCGCTGGTATTCTAGCAGGGCCTGTACGAGATTGCTAGAGACAACTGTATACATTATAAAATGGAGTAAAATACATATAAATATAATAGTATACATAAACCGAGACATAAATAATGAGAGTCTATAAGATAGATAATTAATTATATTAAATAAGTATTAAGGCCGCAAGTGCTATCCACGCGCCCAACCAAACAGCGACAGCCGCGCACAGAGTGCAATAACTGAACGCAACCCCCAGCGGCCCGCCTGACATTGACACTGACAATTAAAATGCTAAGAAGTTAACCTGGGAGTTTTTGGCGGGATTTCATCGAGTGTGGTTGGCGTTATATTTTAATTATTCTTAAATTCGTTCATAGTGGATATTGTGAAATAAAATTGGTGTGATTTTGTGTTACAACTGTCTGCATAACTGAAGAATTAGTAGAATCGTCAAAATATACGCTATTCCGGTCAAGTGGACGTGAGAATTTTATTGTAGTATTGACTACCTCACAGAAGCTTATCGAAAAAGCCAGCTAAGATACATTTCGTGCGTTTTCGTAAGACACACTTCAAGAAACATTAGAATGCGTCACACCGACATTCTAATGTAAAAAGAAAAACAGAATAATTTAACTTAAGATTAGGCTGTATGGGCATTGTTCCCCTTGCCTTCCTTGAAAAGGGAGAACGTAACCAAAAAAAAAAAGTTAACCTGTCTATTTTGCCACGTATCACTTGCACAACAAAAACGCGTTTTGATTTCTGGTGATTGTCTTATGATGATGATCTTTAGACTTGATATAGTATCTTCACCCACCTGTTGTATGTGAAAGTGAATGGCGCCGGATGGAACGGACACTCCTGTGGCACCGGCCGCGGCTCCTTCCGGAACATGGAGTAAAGGGGGGCGTCGCCGCTGATTTGCTCGCATATCGTCGACAGAGAATCCTTGGGCCAAACCGGACCTGTGACGAAATTGTAATAAAATAAAAATCGTTTATTTCCAGACAGAGTCCATAGATATGTTAGTATGATTGACTTAAATGCTATGTTAGTAACAATATGACAATACAATAAAATTTAACAAATATTGGCGTGGAACCACATTTCTTTGTCGCACTATCCGTAAATGGAATGCTCTGCCCGCTCACGTGTTCCCTCCCTCTTACAACCTGGGATCCTTTAAAAGAGGCGTGAAGAAGCAAATTGCAGGCCGGCAGGGTGAGGAGGGCTGGTGTGGCAGGTAGAACTGCTGTATCAGCTATCTTCACGTCTGGACTTCACCTTCACTTAACATCAGGTGGGGTGGAGTCCTTTGTCGGACCTATCTATAAAAAAAAATACAGCGGGGTGGATTCACACACATAAACGCAGCACATGCAGCTCAGTGAACAGGCACGGTTCCCAACTTAGGGGTTTTCCCCCCAGATTTTGGGGCTAGAAGTGTTAAAACGGACTTTTTTAGGGGCTGGAATTTTTTAGGGGATCTTTTATGGGCTTCTATCAAGACTTGCAATGAAATCGAAAAACAAAGCGCGTGTTTTCTTTCAGTTTTGTGCGTAGAATGGAACGTAGTAGCGTAGTGTGTGGCGGGTTGTTTTCTAAGGGTGCGGCCAGAGTGTACTCAGATTCAGATTCAGATTCCGAAAACAAGCGCGAGAAATAAACAGTGTAGTCGAAGGGTACGGCCAGAGTGCACTCCTGATTCAGATTCAGACTCAGAAAACAAGCGCGAGAAAAAGCAGGCAACCTGCTTAGACTACACTGTTTATTTCTCGCGCTTGTTTTCGGAATCTGAATCTGAATCTGAGTGCACTCTGGCCGCACCCTAAGGCTGTATGGACTAAAGTTAAAGAACAGCTAAATAAGATTTAACAGCCTGTCAGTACATTTTCGTTTGATTGTCGTTTCGAAAACTGTATTTATTCAATATAATAATTTACTGTAACTAAATATGTAACGTTTCAACTTATGAGCAACGAAAGAATTTGGGTAATAAGTAGGTACTTAAAAAAATGTATATTTAGGGGATTTTAGGGAAATTTAAAAAATACTTAGGGGAAAATTTTGGTAAGGGTTGGTAACACCGGCCTAGCAGCGCGGAGTCAGTCCCCTACCATCCTCAGGACGCTGTTCGTGCTCTCTCTCACTCTTCTAACTAATGAGCCAACTTTTTTGCGAATAACCGCATAGAAGTCGTCGACTCCTGCATCGGCAAACATGCCTGAGCAGTAGCGCGGAAGCTTGAACAGAGCCCTAAATACATTATTGTATGAGATACGCAGAGCATTATAGGCATTAACATTATAAAATAATGTTTGCACCAATGACCTATAATAAATATATAGATAGGTTACGCTATCATTATTGCATTTTAAAATGACACAAGTAGTCCCCCGCCCTAACTTCCCTTGGCAACAGCCGCCAATAGAGTGCACAAAAGTAGTTTATTTCGCTCTCGTTCATAAAGCTGATAACATCTGGCTGTTTAACCTCTATGTGTCAACGGTGTCAGCAACTGTCAAAATAAGTAATCACTAAATATTTTTACATAAATTTCTTTAAAACTGTACTTACGAATGAAATGACACGGATTTCCTGTCTCTAATAGTTCCCGCGTATTTTTGTACTATATAAAAACACACATACTGCTTTTTGACTTGAAAAACGTAAAATAGTAACTCGTTGTAGCAAAGTGTAGCAGCGGCGAGCGAGCGTGCCTGACTGAATGCAAGTTGGGCAATTACCTGCCTTTCGTATTAAAAATTTTTGAAATGGTTTTGGAATAAGATTATTTAAATCGATTTCGTTGACATTTTGTGTTGCGTATACGAAATAGTGTATCGTGCCGGGTGGCTATAATTAGCTGTGACCTTAAGGCTATTGAGCTATCGCCATCAAGAGGAGCTCAATGGCGCAAGTGATTAGCTCTTTCGGCTGAGATCGTAGAAGTTAAGCAACTTTCCCAGTGGTCGGCCTTTGGATGGGTGACCAATAGTTTACTATCTCGAGCTCCTCCGTGCTTCGGAAGGCACATCAAGCCGCACATTAAAATCTGCTGTCGTTAGCATCCACCAATCCGTACTGGGCTCACGTGGGGTATCATGACTCAATCTCCCTGTTCCATTTATAGGGAAGGCCTATTACCCAGTAGTGGAGATAATAATGGGCCTTTATGCCGGACAAAACTTGGTCAGCATTCGCCAATTTACTGGATATTGTCAGCTTGTAATGCAGTTAGACATGGTGACTCTATTGCGGTAACGAAAAAGAAACTGAGAGCATTGTTACAAATGCTAGTATAAGGGTTGTATTATGTACATATATTTGCCAATATATAGAAAAAATATTAAGATTTAAAAAGGATTTTAACATATTTATAAAATTCGCATGTGTTTTTGTATTGGTAAGATTTGTGATACTGTTAAGGTACATTGTAATTAGGATTGCCACCTTTTTTATGTCCAAATAAAGTACATTGGAGATTTGAGGTAGAAAAAACAAGTACATTGTGTCCAAAATAAAGTACTTTTTATTTCACTTTATTAGTAAGCTTAAAAATATATTTTACGTTGCGTATAGCAACTTTTAATGCATAATTTGTGGCTACTAAAAATCTGTGGTTCTTACCCGCAATGGAAAAGGCCATTGTCCAAAGCCATACATACAGCCGCGACAATGTTGCAGGAATGAGCTAAGGGTGACATATTATACATACTTACTGTTGTTCCGTTTTACGCTAAAAATCTTCTTATCCTCTTTGTGTATGTTTTATGTAAAATTAATCCCCAAGTAATCAAATCACATTAAATAAAGTATTTTCGCGTACTTTATTGTTGGCATAAAGCAGAGTTCCCCAAACTTTTTTGTGTCGTAGACCCCTTGCCATGTTTTTCCGTGTTGGGTAAACCCCCGACTTATCTGATATTGATTTTTTTTCGCTGACGTAGACCCCTTGCAGGTTGTCATAGACCCCTAGGGGTCGATATAGACCACTTTGGGAATCACTGGCATAAAGTATAAAGTACAATTCCCCGAAATAACGTACAATACTTTATAATAAAGTACGGGTGGCAACCCTAATTGTAATTATTTTGTCATTTTCACAATTCGGTTTTTCAAACCAAATAATACGGAAAAAACTACTCACTTTCTTTGTACTGCAGTACATATTTGTGCTTTTCATGTATCACCATACATCTGTAAGAGTCATCACTCCTGAAACGAGAGAATTCAATTAAAATTACTCCTCTTTTTAAATTTCTAGTAACCTGTGGCCTGCGGTGCGTTGCTATGGCAACGTATACGAGGGGTCACGCGAGGTCAGACAGTAAATGTTTATGGCAATTTGCAATTTCATCTCATTAAATTTCAAACGTATATTATGGCAACTTCATGTTATTAAATGGAATTTTTGGCGGGATTTCATCGAGTGCAGTTGGCGTCTCATTTTAATTATTCTTAAATTCGTTCATAGTGGATATTGTGATATAAAATTGGTGTGATTTTGTGTTACAACCGTCTGCGCAACTGAAGAATTAGTGGAATCTTTAATAAATACGCTAGTTCGGTCAAGTGGGCGTAAGAGCTTTATTTTTATTGTAGTGTCGACTACCTCACAGAAGCTTATCGAAAAAACCAACTCGATGCATTTCGTGCCAAACACTCTAAAAACATTAGAATGCGTAAAAAAGTTAGATTAATATACGACAACTTAAGACCAGGGGGCCAATCGCCTAACGGAAATGCTTTGGAAAACGCTAACGCTTACGATTTCATTTTGTTATTTCTAGCCGCCTGAGATTTTCAAATGCCTCGCGCTCTTTTTGTTTCTTTTGTATTGGTAATAACAATATTAATATGAGCGTGAGGTATTTGAAAACCTTCGGCGGTCAGAAATAACATAATAAAATCGAAAGCATTAGCGTTTTCCAAAGCATTTCCGTTAGGTGAATGCCCCCCAGGTACCTGTGACGGTTTTGGGACTATTCCCAAAGTTTATTATAACGGAGTGAAAAAATATTTCTAGTGACTTTGTCCTGTTCAATTTTGCATGAGTAGCTCGTTGGCGCAGTTGGTTAGCACACTTGGCCTGCGATCGTGAAAGTTAAGCAACTTTCACAATGGTCGGTAATTGGATGGGTGACCAAAAACTTATTTTCTCGAACTCCTACGTGCTTTGGAGGGTACGTTAACCCATTGCTTCCGGTTGCATCTGCAGTCGTTAGCACCCACCGATTTGCACTGGGCCGGCGTGGTAGGTCATGTCCCACTCTCTCCATTCATAGGGAAGGCCTGTGCCTCAACAATGGGGATATTAATAGGCAGCTGATGACGATTATGAATTTTGCATGAACTAATGAAATACTTAAAGGCCAATTTCACCATTGTTCTTAAAGAAAATAAAAAAAACATGTTTACAATTGATTTCATATCTTTTGAATTTTGTTACAGAAACATAGATTTAGCTTATTGCAAGTTGCTCATTAATAACTGTAGGAAACATTCATAGATGAAAACACATTATATATTTCTTAATGTATCTCCAAAATTGTATAGATAATATTTATAATAGTAGTAATTCCTTAATAAGCCACACAATATTTGTAACAGTGATTTTCCGGTCACTTGATACTATAAGAATTATTCTCCTGTGTTACAAAATAATTTATAATAAGCCATTTTAAAGCATTAATAGTTAACTTTAGTATTGTCTTTGTTTCTGTATTTTGAATATGTCAAAACAGAGAAAATAAATTACTCTTTTGCAACCATCATCCGCCATTTTATTAATAATGACATCCATTCACCTTATAGTAATATAAATTATTTACGGGATTGTTACCATGTACCTTGTTTTTAGCGAGTTTCGTTTCGTATGTGTAAAACCGGAAATAATCAAAAAAGTGTCGTGTCGCGATCCGATATTGTAAGTGTTGTGTGTCGAGAACAGTTTCGAGTGAATAGTGAGAATGTGAACAGTGGTACGGGTATCGGACGCAATAAAAGACTTCGTCGGAGGGTAGACCGATATGTCTGCCAATAACAGCCTACCTGCAATTACTTCAGTTACTCCGTGATCATGGCGCTTGCAACAGTGCCGAAATATCGGAAACTCGCTAAAAACAAGGTACATGGTAACAATCCCGTAAATAACTTATATTACTATAATGTTAGTGACCATGAAAGTTTAAAACAATATATCCATTCACCTGTCATATAAAAGAAACTTGTCGGTCGATTCTCTCTCAGAACACTCCCCCTTGGACTGTATGTGTGTAGAGTTGATTGCTATGAGGCTTGGGTAGCCGGACAAGAACCAGCTACCGGTCCAGCTATCGGGGAACGTGCATCCCCCGCCTGGAAAACAAAAAAGAATCTGTTAAAAAATCACTGCGTGCAATACTAGGTATACGTATGTCTGTCATTATGTGGTATTTCATTTTGGTGTATGTACCGTATATATATTCCGTATATACACACATCAAAAGTGTCTAGGGATCAAGCATTTTTATGCGGATTTCTTGAGATTGAGATGTGGCTTTGTAATAAATTTATGATTTTATAAATTTATATGGATCCTTTTTGGTGCATTTCATAATTTGAATCAGGAACTGTGAATCAAATTCGAGTAAAAGATGAAAATCAGCTGTCAATATTTTCCCTATAAAAACATACAACGCATTGAAGACATTATTAGTGCTACTGTTTCCCTACTACTGATTAAAACCAACGTTATTATGGAGCGGCGACGTCATTTAAGCAGGGAAGAAATGCTCAGAGCCGTGGGAATGATAGAAGCTGGTTCCCGGCAACGTACTGTGGCTTTAGCTCTGAATACAAGTCAGAGTGTTATCAGTCGACTTTGGACACGATACCGAAGCACTGGTACCGTGGCTGAGCGCCATGGAGGACGGTATCGCTGCACCACACGGAGACAAGACCGATACATTCAAATCTTAACTCGAAGAGCTCCAACAATAACCGCCATGATGTTAGCCGTGAGGCTTCATCACTCTTCAGGGAACTTAATTAGCGACCAAACAGTCAGAAACCGCTTGCATGAAGTGAACCTTCATTCCCGAAGACCGCTACGGGTACCACCTATAGCAATGCACAATCGTAGGATTCGATATCAATGGGCTCTTGAACACAGAAATTGGGCAGAAGAACAATGGCGTTTCGTGTGCTTTTCTGATGAGTCTCGTTTTGGTATGAGACCGGATACAAGACGTATACGACACTGGAGAACCCCTGGACGCCAACAGCGATTAAAATCCTGCCAGGAAGTCCATCCTTATAGTGGTGGAACCATCATGGTATGGGCGGGTATTTGGATCGGCGGAAGAACTGAGTTGATTTGGATCAGAGGCAACCTCAACGCTCAAATTTATGCTGAGACGATTGTATCAGACGTCATCGTTCCTCTACAAGTGCAAATCGGTCCCTTATTTCAGTTAATGCATGATAATGCACGACCGCACACCGCAAGAGTTGTAAGACAGACTCTCGCCGCAGCTAACATCAATGTCCTGCCCTGGCCTGCTCAGTCGCCAGACTTGAACCCGACTGAGCATGCATGGGATATGCTACAGAGAAGAGCTCTGCCGAATATGGAGGGTATCCAGTCGCAAGAAGACCTTTTTTTGTTGTTGCAACGAACATGGGCGGCCATTCCACAGCGTGATTTGGATGAACTCATTTTGAGTATGCCAAACCGATGTTCTTGTGTTGTTAGTGTTCGCGGTAGAAATACGGATTATTAATTGTTTAAGTTACCCAATAAAATTTTAGAGAAAACTGTTATTTCAGTCTTTTTTTCGAACTTTTGTGTTAGTGGTTCAAATGTCAAAAATCCCTTTATTAGGAAAATGGCAAATTTCTTTATTAATGCAAAGGTGACTTGGTTTATCGTTACTGTGACAAACGAAAACACTTTATTTGATGAATCCTTAAAGAAAATTTTAATTAATATCAATCAGGAGAAAAGTTATTGCAAAAATATATGTTGATCCCTAGACACTTTTGATGTGTGTACATGTAGTAAAAAGCGGTTATTTCAATATTACAAACAAACACTCCAATTTTATTTATATGTAAAGATACTTTTATGATACGATCGCTCTGAAAAAAATTCTCTATGAAGTGATTTTATTATATTATGAAACATTTAAAAAGGCATGCTTCTGGGTTTAGTGCACTCGTAAAGTGCAGGATAGGAGATGCTTGCTCGTAAATCTGTCTTTATACGAGCCACAGTACAATAGTTTTACGGGGTCAAGTTGTTAAAGCTTATCAATTTCATTTTGACAAAGTACCCAGAGTAGAATTTTGGCCGTCCAATATATGTATATTAGTGCATTTTGGCTAAACGGTACAGTATTTTTTTTGACATTTGAGAGTGATAAAAACGCGTTAAATATCCTATCCGGTGCTCATGCTAGGGGGACAGGGGGCCATTCGCCTAACGGAAATGCTTTGGAAAACGCTAACGCTTTCGATATTATTTTGTTATTTCTGACCGCCGAAGGTTTTCAAATACCTCACTCTCAAGCATTTCCCTAAGCAAATGGCCCCCAGGACTGGGTGACCCAACATCTTCTATCTCGAGTTCCTCCGTGCTTCGGAAGGCACATTAAGCCGTTGGTCCCGGCTGCATCTGCAGTCGTTAGCACCCACCAATCCGCACTGGGCCCGCGTGGTGGGTCATGGCCCAATCTCCCTATTCGATCCATAGGGAAGGCCTGTGCCCCAGCAGTGGGGACATTAATAGGCTGATGGTGATGGTGGTGGTGGTGATAGTAATTATCATGATTTTATTATACGAGAATGTGTGTGTGTGTGTAAAACATTAAAAACGCTGTCCACCATGAGAAACTCATGGTGGACAGCGTTTTTAATGTTTTAAAAGGATAGTAAAAAAAACTATTTTTCAAATTAAATTACTACAGCCATTTTCTAATTTTATGAAGTGAAATCGATGCATTTAGTTTCCTCATACCAAAAATTATAACAAATAAACATTTGTATAGTACAAATTGATATGAGTCAACTAGCCTATTTCATGAGGTTTGCAATATTTGATTTAACCAATAACTAAAAACAATACAACCCAATAAATGATTTTTGCACTTCGCTGCATTGCATTTTAAAGTAGATTGTATTGTTCTTCTTGTTGAGCTCGGTTTTTCCATTGAATGAAGAACGCCAGGTGTTCTGAATATAATAATAACGCCGGAAACGAAATGCGACGACCTTACGTGAATGTACTGTCGCTTATTTTATTTATTTATTAAGTGAGCCGATGGTGTGTATATTATAAACGACTAGCTAATGCCCGCGATTGCCTCCCCGTTTCGATACTCTAGTTTTGCGCAACTTTTTTGCCGTTCAAAACAACAAACGTGATACAACACATATCAGCGTATTTGCATTTCTAAATATATATTAATATCATTCATCTAAAGAATCTTAACGAATAATAAAAACATTAAGAGCGCATGCGAGCTGAGAGTCATTTGAGAAAACTATTGCTGTCACGCATTGGCAAATACCGTGCGATAGGGACAACAGTAGTTGGCTCTCGTCGATTTCCTCTTCGAAAATTAAACATATGTAAAAGATATTTTACCAATAGAATAACTAGAAATTATACTATGCCTCTATGTTTTGCTTTTTTTATGAATGCTTATTAAATGTCCACATTAGACATCTTTTGTGGTGATAAAAATTTGTTTATTTTGGCATTTTTCAGGGCTTCTAGTTTCTTTGAAACACAAGTTATCGAAAGAAGGAAGACATAGGAGCATAGAATAAGTGAAATTATATTTTAAACTAAAACTCAAACTTATTTATTCAGTCTAGGCTGTTACAAGCTCTTGTGAAAGTCAAACGCTACGCCATCGGTTCGTAAATCTACGGAGACCTTGTACCGAGAAGAACCGACAAGAAACTCAGCAAGGGCTTTTTTTCTCCCTGTTTTGTTTTAAAATATCAGCAAGGTAAGGGGCTATAGAATATTCTTTCTAATATTCTTTATGAGTTTGACAGATATACCCCAATAAATTCAGATGCATTTTTCATTACAATTTAAATGGAAAACTTTTATTATTATAAAAGAGCTAGAGTGCTTAAAATTAAATAATATACCACACGGTTTTTGTTTGAATATCAATTCTTTAGTGATAAAATCAAAGAGGAATTACTCGAGAATGTTTGTATGGAAAAAACATTGCCCGTCTCCTCTCTTAAAGGTCTGTATTTTTTTAAGTTAAATGTATACACTCAAAAATTACTGAACCGATTTCAATCAATTCATTCGCCATTGCTACATTATCCGTGGATAACATAGGGTCGGTGTCAAACCATTATATCTGCTGTGTGCCAAAAATAACTTTATTACAAAAGCATAAGTTTCTGACATCAACACAAACCTATAATTATTTATGTTATTTATGGAATTTTTACCATGTACCTTGTTTTTAGCGAGTTTCCGATATTTCGGCATAGTCACTCTGTGATCATGGCGCTTGCAACAGTGCCGAAACATCGGATCTCGCTAAAAACAAGGTACATGGTAACAATCCCATAAATAACATAAATTACTATAGTATTGAGTAGGAGTAGAGAAGCGCGATAGTGCAAGTGGTAAGCGCGTTCGGTAACGATCGTTGAAGTTAAGCAACTTTCGCAGTGGTCGGTCATTGGATGGGTGACCAAAAATTTTGTATCTCGAGCTCCTCCGAGCTTCGGAAGGCACGTTAAGCCGTTGGTCGAAAAAATCAAACTTCATCTTTAAGGCGCTATTTATTACGTAAGACTATTTTCTCTAGTTTTTGAGTTGACACCCTGCCTATCCCTATTACAAGAAAATTAAGAATAGGCCGACTCACTTCCCCCCCCCCCTGTTTTTAACATTTATTACGTAAAAATCTGAAGGAAAAAAACTGAAACAAGTTTGGTTTGTTTTAATGTTTAGTTTTAAGTACGATTCTTTTTTCTAAATGGCTTCGCACGGCTTGTGCATTTAGCCAATGTCAAGTGTTAAAATGTTTACAAATACTATAGCACTCGTGGTCAAAGTAATAAATCAAGTCAAAGTAAGTGGCAGTCAAGTCAAACCCTCTTTCCCTATGTTTCAGTAAATGTGTGGGGATTTACTGGAACCTCCCCGTGGAGTTCTTGAGGAAACGTCGAAAGACACTTTCCGCTATTTTGTTTCACTTGCCAACACTTGTGCATGATCCCGAACACTTAGTGGTTAATAATCCACCATTATTAGACACTAACATCCGCCACTACACAATTTTTTAACAAGAAAAACATAACTGCTAAAGTGACGCTACCCGATCCCGCCAAAA